TCTTAATACAAAAATATTACAAAATAAAAGCATTGTTTTTATCTCAACAAGATTGGCTTGTGGTTATTTACACTCCCACCAAAATTACAGGAGTTGTTTCAGTCTACAACAACAAGTAATTTTTACAAGAAATAACCATTTGTAGTGATTTACTTATGTACCTTCCAATATCAGGATTAACTTTTGCACTGGACGCTCTGCAATAGAAAGTTTATTGAAGCGTTGACCTTGACTGTTCAATCTTTTATCTCCAAAGGAGATTTTTACTCTTCTTACAAGACCATCCTTGCCACTGACAGACTCTAGAACTCTGGCAAGTTTCCATTCACCTCTTGGCAGCAGTTCATCGATGTCCAACACGACATCACCAACTTTGAGATTTCTTTTTGGTGAGTGCCACTTCTGTCTGGCGATAATGTTGTGCAGATATTCGCGTCTCCATCTGCACCAGAACTGCTCCGCTAAAAACTGCACACGACGCCATCTCTTTGATCCATAGAGGTCCTCCTTTGGAAAGGTGCCAGGTGGGGGCAGTATTACGCTGGATTTCATGTGGAGCAGGTGATTAGGAGTAAGTGGTTCCAAGCTGTCTGGATCGTTGAGGTTATCCACAGTCAAGGGACGACTATTGACTATGGCCATAGCTTCATAGAACAGAGTCCTCAACGAGGCATTATTCAGTCTACCATGTGCGAGCGACAGAGTGGTGTTTAATACACTTTTGACTGTCTTTATTTGGCGTTCCCACACTCCGCCTGCATGACTGGAGTGAGGCGCATTCATCACAAAATCGCACTGCCTTTGGGACAGATAAGTACTCAGTCTTTGARTATCYAGTTCTTTTAAGGCAGTCTTAAATTCGTTGTGTGCACCTACAAAATTTGTTCCTTGATCACATCGGATTTGGCGGACCGCACCTCTGATGGCAATGAAACACCTTAGAGCATTAATAAATGTATCAGTGGATAAGTCTTCTAACAACTCGATGTGAATGGCACGGGAACAAAAGCAAGTGAATAAAAGTCCATATCGTTTATGTTGTTTTCGTCCTTCTGAAACGACAAAGGGGCCAAAACAGTCCATACCGCAATACGTGAAGGGCGGAGAAGGCTCTAAGCGTTCTACAGGTAGGTCACTCATTCTCTGACCTTCCGGAGCTCTGCGCAGTTTGCGACACATGACACATTGGCGGATGAACGAAGCAACAGTTCTGCTCATTCCAGGTATCCAGTAGCCACTGGATCTGATTTCATTTATTGTGAAGCCCTTTCCTTGGTGTTTTACGTTATCATGACAGTGGGCTATTATGAGCTTTGTCACATGATGTTCTTTAGGGATGATAACAGGATGTTTGAAGGAGTCGTTGAGAGATGAAAGTCTCCCTCCCACCTTGAGAAGACCATCAGTGTCCATGAAGATATTCAGGTGGAACAGATTGTTGCAATGTTGGAGCTGGTTACCTTCGCTCAATGATTTTATTTCCCTTCCATATGTTTGTCTTTGCACATCTTGTATGATGACGCGTACTGCATTTTCTTGTTCAATCACTTTAGCAGGTGCGTTTGCTTTATCTTTCTTAGCTCTTCTTATAAGACGTGCCACAGCTTTTACCGCTTTAGGCCATGATGAAAACTTTAACAAACGTTCTGCAAGACTGAATGACTCTGTGACCTTCGTTAACAATGTTCGTGTTTTCCTGACTTCTGGGTCGCCAATAGACAGATTGAGCTCTACACCTTGTGTAGTGGGCAAGTCTCTCTCCCAGAGAAAGGAGGGGCCGCTAAACCAGTTTGATGAGAGAAGCTCAGTGATAGTTTTACCCCTAGATGCACTATCGGCTGGGTTTTCTTCTGATGGCACGTAAAACCATTGTTGAGGGCTTGTACTTTGTCGAATCCTTTGGACTCGGTTGGCTACAAAAGTATGGAAACGACGTGCATCATTGTTAATGTAGCCCAAAACTACCTTTGAGTCAGACCAGTAATACTC